TTTTTTTTTTTTTTTTTTTTTTTTTTTTTAAGAGAAGAAAACCCCAGATGAAATCTTTATCAAATTGATGACTTCAATTCTCTTAAAACCCAAAACCCTTAATGAGTTATGAAATGATTCTCATAAAACAAGAATTTAAAAAAAAAAAAAAAGGAAAGCTGCACGGAAAACGAGGCAAGGGAGTAGTGAAAGCTAGTGACTTCACTCTCCTTTGATAATTAAAACATCTTTTGTTTGGTTTTGAAATTGTGTTTATAAACTTAGTTTTGAAAAGATCAAATAAAAAAAGATTATGTGTACCTTAATTGTAAAAGAGTTAAACATGGTATCATCAACGGTGGTGATCTTGACATGGAGAATTTCAAGTGAGAGTTGTTCAAGGGCAGCAATGATCTTCACAGCTTGTCCAGGGATCGGTGCAGAAACTGTCTTCAAAACCACATTTGGACCTGTAAACTTCACCTCAACTTCAGCTATGCCGGATTTTGAATTCGCCACAAGATCATTGTTACCATTGTTACCATTGTTACCATTGTCAATGGAGGAATTTGTGGTGGAAGATGAATTACAGGGCGATGGCTCCACTGTGCTGATGTTGTTATTAGCCATATCGGTGGTGGGAGGCTGTTGCAACCTTGGAGGCTTGCTGTAAGGGCTGGTGGGTTGTGGGGTTCTTGGACTAATTGGCAAGTTAAGGCGAGGACTTAGTGGTGGTGGCTTTCTTGGACTCATTGGCAAAGGCCTTGGACTTGAAACAACCCTAGGGCTCAACACTTCACTATACACTTTCCTTTGCTTTTTGGCCTCTAGTGATTGAAGAACTTGTTGCAACTCTTTGATGTATTCCACCACCCCTCCAATTATTGAAGCTTGATCTCCCTAAAACCACATTCAACAACAATATAATATCATTCAACACAAAACCCTGAAATGAAATCATATTCTCAAAAAATTTCAACATACTTTCTTGACATAGAAACAAGGCATGAGCGATCTCAACACCGACAAGTGCTCGTTCATTTGCTTCCTACGGTTGCGCTCTACCGTGATGTGAGACATTCTTTGAGCTCCATCAGGGTTTGCATCCTCTGAGGAAGAGACACCAGCCATAGCGGAACCGTTCATTTTCAAGCGCTTGGTTTTAGGGGAAGTCTCAAGCTCGGTGTCGTCCTCGATCATACTGAATTCTGCAACATTCTCCAAACTATCAAAGATGCTGAAGAGGTCATATCCTTCCAACTGGGGGATTGTGGTATGGTCGACAAATTCTTCATTTTGTTGGAAAAAATCAGCTAAATTATCAACCATGTTTGTACCCTTTTGTTCTGTTGGGCTAAAGAAGCACAAAGTTTGGAGCTTTTGTGTTGAAAAAGGGAAAGAAAAGGACCCAGATAGATAGATCAAAATGGTGGAAAAAAATATATTGTCAAGATCAAGAGAGGGTGCCTAATGGGAAGTAAATAAGAGGAAGGGGAGAATATGAAAGGGACTAAACTATCACCATCAACATATTATAGCTCTCTTGAAATGCTAACCGTTGGATAAGTGAGGATCAGACGGGCAAGAAGAAAGATGGAATTGAAATCATATTAAAAGGGTTGGTTCTTATAAACATGGAGTTGAAATGGTTTGAGTAAAATAGATTGTTTGACAAATTTGGTTGTTTCATTATCTCTCCTTGGAAACTGTAGCTTGGCTTTCACTTCCCGTCTCTCAAAGCTTAATTGTTCTGGTACCATGTTTGTACTACACACCCAGACAGAGCTCAGACACCATTTCTCATGATTCCCTAATCATCAAATGTTAGCCCACAACTTTATATGTTGGTTTGTAGTTAATAATAGTAATAATATCCTCTCTGTGTCGGATTGGGCATATGAAGATCTTAATGTTGAGTACCAAGTCATGTTTAGGAACTCATTTTTGGTGCTCAAATCTATATATAGCAATCAGAACATTCCCATGTCTTAATTTGTCTATGAATGCAGCATTTAAACTCATTAATTTTTGCTTTCACATTAACCCCTTCTCTCTCCCATTATCTCATCTCCCTTCTATATCTATCACCCTTCAATTCTTTTGCAGTCCATTAAATTCCATTCCATTTATATACATACATAGAGTGGGAGATTCCATGTCCGTCGGCACAAAGAAGAACGAAACATTTCTTATAAAAGGTGTGAAAATATATTCCTAACAAACACGTTTTAAAATCGTGAAGCTGACGGCGAAATGTAATGGGCTAAAGCGGACAATACCCATTAGTAGTAGACTTGAGAATTGTTACAAATGGTATCACAACCAGATACTAGGCGATGTGTTAGTGAAGACGTTGGCCCCCAAGGAGGTGGATTATGAGATCACACATCGGAGAGGGGAACAAACCATTTCCTTATAAGGGTGTGGAAACCTCTCCCTAACAGACGCGTTTAGATTATAAGATCCCACATCGGTTGGAGAGAAAAATGAAACATTTTTTATAAAGGTGTGGAAACCTCTTCTAAACCGTGAGACTGAAGACGATGGTGAGAGATAAGAAAGGAATAAGAAGTGTCCATTAATGGGGTTTGTTTAAGAGTGATAAATGAATGAACGCATGAGGCATTAGACTGATTGTAAGCTTAGTTTATGAGGTTGGAAATAAAAGCAGGATGGTTTATGATAACAGGAACCCATGCATGCAGCAGATATTTAGTAGCAGAAGGATTTAGCAAAAAAGGTGATATAGTAAGAGAGTGAGGAGTGAGGATATTGAGAGGAAGCACGGAGATGGCGTGTGTGTGGACATTGAAAGAGGTTCAGAAATTCACAACACATTGACATAAAGAGGAAAGCGACGTAAGTAATATGGTATTCAATATTTGTAACAAAACTAACACAACTTGCACATTTCTGCCCACACCCATCCGCATCACATTTCCTCTTCTCTTCTCTCCCCCCTGCCATTCTCATTTACTTCTCCCTCCCCCATTTAATATCATTACACTATATAACACATCATTCCTTCATGGAATCATATATTATAACTAGTTAATTAATTAATCTCCCTCCCCTTCCCTTTTTTACTCTGCTGTGGGGGCGGGTGGCCACACAGAGCTGCCACAGCACCCCACACTCAGTCACAAATGGGGGAGAGAAGTAATTGCCTGCTTCCTCTTTC